TATACTAAAGTAATGAAAACTCTTACAAAAATTGAATTAATAAAAATAACTTCTTGAAATTTACAAGGACATTTTATAAAGATCTGAATTTTTATACAAAATTTTCATTATCACACTACATTCGGAAAGTGAAGTTTTTCATTTATAAATCTACATTTAAATTTCATTCAAATATTAACGCTGTTTATTTAACTTGTACTAAGCATACTTACAATAATTTTAACATTTTTTTTCCATTGCAATAAACAAAACGCTTTAAAAAGAAACATTTTTAAAGCTTATAATTAGCACTGAGTGGAGAAAAATTGTGTAAAATTTTAGCTTCTCTCGTGAGGTGTAAGAATGTACAAATGATTTTTATTTTCACCTCCTATAAGCATTGCAACTGTAGCATCTCAACACACCAATTTCGTGAAATGAACCTTCTTCTCTATTAATGTAATTTAGAATGTAAGAAAATTGTGATTATTTGTATGGCAATGCTAGTTTTCTTCAATACACTTACAGAAAACTGAAAAAAACAAAGCTCGTAATATCTAGTACACATGTATCTTGTATGAAAGTACACATAGATATAGTTATATATATCTCGTGTATTTCTAAGATACGTGATTCACATTTATGATGCATTGAATTTCGTTCGATACAAAACATTATTTGTTATAGCTGAATATTTCTTTGCCTTTGTAATCTTACGTTTTGTTTCGACGAGTACGACGAGTATGGTTTCGACGGGAAAAAATGTATATTTTTTATAGGATTACATTGTTGGTATATTTTATGAAATTATTTCAGATAACTGGAGATTTTTCTACTTAAAAATTATCTATCTTGAATTTAGAAAGGTAATTCTATGTCAATCACCAAAATATATACAAGTGAAGTCTCCAAAAGAAGCAGAATTTTTAGCTGTAATGGAAGCTTCAAGACGTTCGCTTGTGACAGACTTTACTTTCAATCAAAATAATTCATATTACAACTAGCCAAAAATATATGTATATCTATATCCTACCTTTAAAAAACTAATTACTTTGTATATAAATATATTCTGTTTTGTTTCATTTGATATTTAAATGTATTTTATTCTGCTGTATTTATTTTAAATATTGATTACCTAGAACTCATTCAATTTGTATCCTAAAATACACTTAATATTAACGAAAAAAGTTTTATAATAGATTAATTCTCTAAAGGTTTCAATGTAACTCTGAGTTTCCTAATTATAAAGAGCTCAAAGTTTAATTAAAACTTCAAAATTACTAGAAAAACTTTAGCTAAAAGAGACTTGTGGACTTTTTGGTAGTGAAGGGTGTTTTTATCTATTGTTACAATTTTTATTTGGTTTAGTATATCTATATATATAAAATAAAGTCGTGTTAGTTACACTATTTATAACTGAAGAACGACTATAGGGATATGGTTAAAAATTGGTGGAGAGATAGCTTAGAACCAGGAGACGGACATTGAACATTTAATTCTATAAAAGAATATATAAATAATTTCAAAATCTGCTTATTTACAGCCTCTAAAACGGAATAGAGTTCGCCCGGTCAGATATACACATATTACTAATTCTAAAATTAACCCAGACGAAGTCGCTTACAGAAAGAAGTTAACTATAATAATAAATATATATATAAATAAATAGAATAAGTAGTTAATTCACCAACCCAAGTCCGAGCACGTCAATTGAATTGCAATACCAACTGAATAACATATTGTATAGATTGCGGGTTCCACTCACGCTTACGTTATTAATTTTTTAATCCATATTCTCTATATATTAATTGAAACATAAACTAAATGTTTAATATTAGAACATCATCATCAGCCTATCAGAGCCCACTGCTGAGAATAGCCTCTTCTCACATGGAGAAGGTTTGAGTATTAATCACCACGCTTGCTCAAGACGGGTTGGTGATTTCAAACTTATATTTGTGAAATTATATGTCCAGGTTTAATCACGATGTTTTTCTTCATCTATCAGTTGTGTCTCAATACTCTTATAAAGTACATATGACTCGGAAAAATCACATTGGTACTTGCCAGGATCGAACCCGCGCCTTCGTGCACAAGAGGCGGACCCTTTAACCACTAGGCCACCACTGATTATATAAACATAATTATATTAATCTATAATCTACTAGTACATTAATCTGTTATATTCAGTTAAATCGAATTCTATAGTTTAGTTTAATTGATGTGCATCAAGTAATTATTTAATGAACAATATCATGTTTGCAGTGTTATCCATTAATCTTATTCAAGTTACTCCCAATCTAATATAATATATTATTATATGTATATTATATATGTTTGTAGAATAATTAAAGTAATCGGTTTAAAAGTAAGAAATAAGCAATAATATTATATATTTTAATTAAATAAAAGACATTATTATATATTTAATTTGTATAAATTATTACACAAACTATAGATTATATTTAACGTCATGTAAATCTGCATGAAGATTTTTTTGTAAAAAGTTGATATTAGGGTATCTTTTAAAGATTTAAATGAAATTAATATTTTTCGGATATACGGCACGTTATTTTTGTAAAAAACTACATACACCCGACGTTTCGGCTACTTTTGAGCAACCGTGATCACGGACAGACGAGAAAACTCGCAAAAGTCTTAGATCTCATTATCTTTTAATGTTTTTCTAACGATCTATGTTAAGTATTTGGGCTTCAATACCTTATTTTACAGACGAAGACCAATCTATTATGCATTTAAGATAAAAATCAGATTTTTTGTCATTTTCAAATATTTTCGTTACAGTAATTATTATAATCCTAAACAAATCAATTCTCTTTTTGACTATATCAGCTTACTGAATAGATAACAATGTTAATATTATTTATTTTCAATAAAAAGTATATATTAGTGTTTGTTTTTTAATTCCACATAAATCACTCGTCACTGTGAAGACATCAATTCCACCTGTTTCGTTGTTAGCTACTCCGCGTTACATCCTTGATGTACGTCAAGGTTTCCTGGACTTATTGCCTCAGACGGAAGGCTGTGTGTCTTCGTTAAGTTCAAGGTTATAATCCAAAGGTCGCCGTTTGTATCTCTTGATTTTATATATAAATAAAATCTGTATACATTTTATCATGAATCTATGTACGTAATGGAGATTTTTGCATCCTTTTCTTCTTTTCTTTGCTAGGTAAAAATATAATTGCACTTTCAATCAAGTACAATTTTAATGAAATAACATTTAGTAAGTCTTCAAATATTTTATATTATTAAAGCACAAATTGTATAATCACAAACATAAATGAATCAACAATATTTGATTAAAATACAAATATTGAAAGCCGTATTTTCTTCAGCACGTGTGAATTGAAAATACATAGTAATATAAATTTTTCACACAGCTACTTCAATTTTGTTTGTGTATTGAAGATGGTCGAGACAAATATGTATATTATGAGCATTGAATAGTACACATTCTGTTCTATCTAGTACAGAACGTATGCAGAATTCTGATACAACGTGCAAGACATATTTAAATATGAAAGGAATGCAATATTTTGAATTTAAAGATTTTTTTTCAAATGTATGAGACTTTTTTAACGTTTCATTAATACAGGGTGGCCCAGAAAGACCGAAGTGGTGTGAATTGCTTATAACTTTTTATTTAAGAGATATTTTTTTAATTTTTTTTTTTTAAATACATTAAATTTATGGGGAATATTTTTGGATTAGTTATTAAAAATGATATCCCGCAAGTGGTGGCCATATTCTGCTTCGCACAAATGTGCTCTTTCCAACACATTTTCCATGACCTTTCGCAAAACTTCCGGTGGTATGTTGTTAATTTCTTCTCGAATATTGGTTTTTAACTCCTCAATAGTCCTAGGCTTATTAACATAAACTTTTCCTTTTAAATAGCCCCAAAGAAAACAGTCTGGAGCGGGTAAATCCGGGGACCGCGGAGGCCAATTAAAATTGCTGTGCTGTGCTCTTGTGCTTTTTGCTGGAAATAAATTGCATAGTCAAGTCGTTGCTGGTAATCTGTTGGTTTCAATTCTTGGACAAGTTGAATTTTGTATGGAAACAATCCTATGGTGTGCAAAATTCGCTGCAGCGACGTTCTTGAGAGGCCCAGTTGTGACGAACGTCTCCTGGTTGATGTTTCTGGATCCTCCCGAATACTCTCCTGTACCACTTGAATATTGTCAGCCGTGTGGACAGTTCGGTGTCTGCCGGAACCAGGAAGGTTCCTTACTGCTCCTTGTTCTCGAAAATTTGCAACCAGACGGTTTATTGTTGACTGAGAGGGTGCAACCCGCACATTAAATTGACGACGGTATGCACGCTGAGTCAACACAATGGACCGTTGATTTGAAAAGTAAATTTCAACAATTTGGGCACGTTGTTCAATTGTGTATTGCTCCATTATAAATTATCCAAGTCTTCTTTACAAAATACTGAAAAGAAAAGAAAAAAAAAATTATAATAAAAAAGTTATAAGGAATTCACACCACTTCGGTCTTTCTGGGCCACCCCGTATAATGCATGGAATATTTTTAATAACAAGATATTTACAAAATGTTTTCAAGTTAGAATTATTAATCTCTTTGTATATTAACGAGTGTAAAAAATGAAATAATAATAAAGATAAAACTTCGATTCACTGATAAGATATTTAATATGTGAAACGGCTGTACCGATGTTACTGGAAATTAGTGGGAAGGAAAAAAATACTTAATAAAATCTGAATCCTGTCCATTTACCTTTTAGGTAGAATAGAGTCCACCGGGTCAGGTATGTATTTTTAACTCCGAAGTTGAAACCGATGAAGTCGCGAACAAAACGTGGTTTTTAATAATAATAACCTATTAAGATTGATAAACTATTATTACAAGTCCTTAAAACGAAATAAAAATAATATATAAAACATTATTTGTATTGTAGCAATTAATTTTTTAACAGTGAAATGAAAAACAAAAAACAATGAAATATATATTGATTTATCGATACATAAGTTATTGAAGGTATCTCCTAGCAAGAACTGCTCTGCTGGCTGGTACACGACAATCTGTTAGCGCGTGGATACGATCACTGCGGACGAAGGCAGGGTCTCGAGCTAGTTCATCCAACGCTGATAAACATTCATCACGAGTGAAGGGCATCTCAAGGTCATCACACACACGGGAAAACCAACGAGCTTCCACACATCTAAGGAAATAGTCGTAAAAATTACTAAGATATCAGAGACGCATTGAATAAATTTTATGCAGATTTAAATGGCCTATGTAAATGAAACTAATATTTTCGGAATTATTACGCTTTCTTTAACTATAAACTACATACTCCCGACGTTTCGGTTACTTTACAGCAATCGTGATCATTAAGACGAGATGTGGCCTATTATTGAAGATATTTTTATATTGTCTTAATGAAATCTTCTTCTACCTGGCAATTTCCCAGCTATAGCCAGGGTCTGCCTTACATGATGTGAATAGTGTTTGGGCTTTTTGTTTTTACGACCGGCCCGCCTCTGCCTGACATCAACCCGCTTTTTGAGAAACAACATTAATCAGTGATGTCTAAATACTCTTAGAAAAGTACATATGATTCGGAAAAATCACATTGGTACTTGCCCGGGCCAGGATCGAACCCGCGCCCTCGGCGACTAGAGGCGGGTTCTTAACCACTGAGCCACCACTGACTTATATTGTCTTAATTAAATATCTGATGAAATATAAATTAATGAAATACTATAATTAAATACCAAAAATATAGTGAATTAAGCGAGGATTAGAATGTATATTAGAAAAGTTATAAGTAAAGGGCAGTTATGAAGCCTATAGAAATTATGTTAGATAAATCCTTACGCGGGACAAGGCTCCGCTGGTACTAGAAGGTTGATAGAAGGCGCACTCCAAGTTCGTGTATGTTCCGGATGAACAGTGTACCGCCTTAAACGAGACCTATGTGCTTCTGGCTTTCTTTGCATATAACGTTCCTGTATAAAGAAGCCTTAATTTGTTACTAGCTATCTCATAAATACTATTATTATTATCTTGAGAATTAGTTTTGATTTATTAGCAATTTGATTGAGTTTGCAGTTAAAGAAACCAAAAAAATTTTTCAGCGTTAAAGAAAAATTGGCTTAAAATCTCAGTATTAATAAGGTTTTAAATATACATTAGACATGAAAGTTACTTAAGATACGAAAAAAGCAATACACATAGCGGTATATTTTGTCATCATGTACATTATTTCAAAACTACCAAAAAAGTAACCAACAAAAAATACTTTTATAATTATAAACTCACATAATAATATGTTATTTGAACCAGTTCTTTGATTTCCTCAGTAATTAAACAGAAAGTTAAATTTAGTCTTCTAGTGGTAGGTTGCTTGTCTCCAAGAAGATTTTCAAATGGTTCCAATGAACAGTTTAACATGCTGAAAATATTAAATATATATAAAAATATTGTAAATCAACATTAAAGAATTAAATTAATCTAACAAAATTGAAATAAATATATTGTCAACTGTTCAACAACCTCTGTAATGTAATTGTTCATGGTTATTTGAATTAAATAGATTAATGCAATGATTTTTATTATTGCCAAAGTTTAACAAAACATCTACGTTAAAATTTTGAGTATGTACGTACTACGAATACGTTAGTACAAAAGGGTGACTTTATTTATTAAAGTACATACATAATTAATTTATTTATACGGAAGGCTTAATGAATTTCTTGTAGAAATAAAAAGTAATAATATAGGAATATACCACGTGTTTGAGCAAAAATATCTTTTATGAAAGGAGATTTATGGAAATAAATGTGACCACAAAAGCCAGTGTACAAAATAATTAAACCCCAGAACAGTCATTAATTATGTTGTTAAAGAAGTGTCTATTAGTCTTAAAAATTCTAATCACGTTCTGAAACCAAGCCATCTTAAAGTCGCGTTCTGAACAAACAAATCTTACGTGAAAATATCATTGACTTTGCTCATCGTGTCTTCTATTATCTTATTTGTTTCTGCTAATTGAATTCTCTTCTCTTCTGTCCTCTTCTTCTGTTCTATCAATTTCTCTCTTAATTCTTTAATTTTAACTTGTCTTTCTTCTTCCTTCTTGTCATTCCAGTCTCTTCTATCCACTGATAAAAACAAACATCTGGATTTTTACCTAATCATATTTTTAAATATACATAATTTAAGAGGAAAATCTATTGACACGATTCTAGTCTATTTTCTGATTCAAAGACTAGCTAGATAAACTTTTTGGTATAGCCAAATTCGGCTCGCTAATTAAGAATACAATCAAAACTTTGTATCTCTTAGGCAAAAAATGGACTCATAACAAAGGGAGAGATAGTTTGAGCTCCAAATAAAGTTACTAAATAACATATTTACTTATATCAATGTGAATTCTATCAACACTTCTTCGAAGCAATTCATTCTCCGCGCAATACTGAGTAAGCAACTCGTACAGAGACCAATTATCATGTTCTCTTCTCACAAATGTTTCAATAATCTTGTTTATATTATACTCCTGTGTATGATCCTGAATATATGAAATAACTATTTTAAAGTCATATTTATTAGAACTAATTTTGACGAAATAATATATAAATTGAATTGTAGATAAATGATGAAAGAGCCATAGCTTAACTTGAGTTTTGTAAATGTTGTTACAATTCAGTAAAAGATTCCAACAATTTTAATATTACTGGATCTAAAGAATATAAAATGGGTGTTTAAGTAAAATATATGAAGATAATAATAATAATTATGAATTATGTTTAATAAAATAATTGAATTTATGCTGCCTAAAATTGTTGCGATTTTTTTAAGGGCACTTACATTTATCTCATTAATAGTTTTAGCATAACGTTCATATTCCTTTTTATAATCTTCTTCTTCTTTCTCTTTCTTGGCCAGTTGTCTTTCTTCTTCTGTTTTATTTATTCTTATCACTCCTTTCTTAGCAAGAAATTGATACAGTTTCATTTCGTGATCGAAAGCCTTCTGTAAGTCTTTCATCTCCTGCGAAAACCACGTATAATTTAAACAAAGACCTAAAAGAAAAATTTACAACAAAAAATTAAGAAAATTTAACTCATACAATATCGTACAGTGACCTTAAGTATATTTTATTTCTAAAACTATAATGAATATACAGTAGAATTGAGAATTTACGTTATTTTTTTAAATCAGATAACATTAAAAAATAAACTATTTAAAATTATATATTCTTATTGTACTTCAAAATACAAACAAATATATTGAAGATTATTATATGTAATATAAACCTTTATTTTTTTATTGATAGAATATATCTGTGTGTCCTAAAATATATTTTTACGTACATATTGTTAGTTTTTGATATATTTTATTTATTAAAATAATGAAAAAATGAATATAGTGATGATAAAATCATAAAAGAAATATTAGAATTAAAAAAAATATAACTGTTGATGTTCCTATAAGGTTTTGACCAAATATATTATAATAAATAAAATAATATATTCTGGAACAAGCTTCTATATGTAATGTTTGTTATTTATAATAGTTCATTTTACCTGTATTTGGACCATCTGATCCATCCTTCCCTTTTCCTTCATCGACCGTAGTTTGGAGCACCACTCGTCACGCTGGTCGTAAGCCAGTGCAGTCGACTCGAAAACCTCAAACAAAAACTTCTTGCCCCTCATCAGCACGCTTTGCATCCTGTCCCAGGCTTGATTGAAAATCGCCCTAAAATATAATGAATTAAAACATTATTTTAAATCGGATAACCTAGTAGTTAAAGGTCCGCCTCTCATGCATGAGACTCGGGTACAAAACCTGGCAAGTGCTAATGTGATTTTTCCAACTCATATGTAAGTGCTAATGTGATTTTTCCACTTTGTAACAGTATTTAGATATCACTGATTGATGGTAAAGGAAAACATCGTGAGGAAACCTGGACTTATAATTTCAAAATTATAATATTGAAATCACCAACAGGTCTTTAGAAAGCGTGGTGATTAATGCTCAAACCTTCTCCATGTGAGAAGAGGCTATGCTCAGCAGTGGGCTCTGATAGGCTGATGATGATTAAACATTCCTCATTATCATCATCATGAAACATTATTTTTTACTAGCTTTCCGCTCCCAGCTTCGCCCGCGTGAAGTTCAATTATATCGCGTTTCCAAGAGAACCTTTCAAAAGTCTTGGATAAAAACTATCCTATGTTCTTTCACAAGGTCAACTCCATTTCTGTACAAAATTTCATTAAAATCAGTTCAGTATAGGCGTGAAACAGACAGACAGACAGAGTTACTGTCGCGTTTATAATATTAGTAGGGATTTAACAAATTAAGTCATTCTTATTACTGTTTGTTATTTATAGTTGTTAAGTTAAAATCAAACCTATCTTGAAGCATGTGTTCAATTTGTTCCCGAATCCTAATATTCTCACACTGCACCATATTAAATCTACACATGGCAGCCTCCAGTTTATTCTCAGTCGATGACAGTCTATTTTCACTTAAACAACGACGTTCTTCAAGCTGTTACATTCAATATAAGATAATAGATGTAATGCTTATAATAATATCAAATTGTTTGCTGATTTACCTTTCCAGTGTACGATGTTACTGTGTTGTGTAATTCGAGTATTTTCTTGTTTTCTCTGTATAATAATTCATCGATTTGTGACATTAGCGTCAATCCCTCTAAGATTAAATAGTGTTTAATATACTGATAAGATTATGGTTAATGTTTTATTACTCAAAGAAGATTGTAGAAAACAAACCTTCTTCTTGTTGACCAGTTCTTGTATAACGAATGAGAGACCTTTTCAAGCAGGTTTTCATCTTTTTGTCGTTATTCTTGTGAGCTCCGGACCTAGCTATCTATTGAATAATTTTAATTTTAATAATAACTTCAATGACGTCACTACTGTTTCTTAATCATGAACTTATACTATAAATACTGTTTGAACCTTTAAGTTTTTATGTAAGCTCAGATATTCTTTCTTGAGTGTCCTGAGTAGTAAATCTTGTCGTCTAAACTTCGGATGTACTCCCATAGCACGATGAAGTCTGTCCGTTTGTGTCATTCTTACCTATGATATAAGATAATACATTATATTAAATCTAATTATATCTACTATATGGAGGACCAATTTATTCCCAAAAGAGGGTTGATGTCAGGCAGGCGGCCGGTCGTAAAAACAAATAGCCAAAACTATTCACAACATGTAAGGCAGACCCTGGCAACAGCTGGGAAATTGCCAGATAAAAGAAGAAGAAGACTCCATCAACTAGAAAACTAACGTGAGAGTATTTTATGCGCCCGTGTCAAATCTGATCGAAAAACACAATCTTTTCGTGATGTCAAATAAAAATAAAGTACTTTTATTCATTTCATGCTTTTATAAAAATACTTAAATTGTCTTATTTTTTTCAATTTTAAGTAATTGTTCCATTAAAAGTTTCAATTATGATGTTATATAGTACATATATAGGTTTTTATTTATTGACCTCAATGTTTGTTAAATAATTCAAACCTAATGAAAGATAAGTGCGCCAAGAAAGAAAATAATTAAAATAAAATATAAATATTATGTGGTTTCTAAAAAGAATAGTTTTCGCAAAAAGAACTTTACCTTTACTGTTTCTAGCTGAATTATATATTAATATTTCAACTATATCAACAAAAACATTGCTTATTTTAACAAAATAATCTTATTTTACTAAGTATTTTATAATCTCACTTGTCGTTGTAATCTCAAATGTTCGTCTTCCATCTTCTTCAATACGTCGAATTCATTTTGTGTTTCCAAACTTGGCGTTTCCATTTTTAGTATTTATTAATATCAAAGATAATTATTTAACAAATTGATGAACTAGTATATTTTATATAAAATCAATATTTGCCAAATTCATAGCCATCTCGATTTTGTTTGTCATTATAAATTTATTGAGTTTATTAAAAAAATAAATACTTATTTTGAGATTCCTTCGTTACGACCATTTCTTGAACGTTTTGAAAATTTAATATCTTTGTATTCTGACCTATCATAAGATAAAGGCTGCAAAATATTATAGATCTGAGTCTTATTGAAAATACATTTAGTAATTTATTGAATTAATAGTGAACATATCTTCTTCTTGATATACCTCCAAGAATACTACTATACCTCCTATAACATACATCCAAGATTATCTAAATAGACAATAACATCACAGTATAACCCATAACAATTAAATTTAAGTTGTACTTGTCTAATATAACAATATTGAGATTGAGATTTGACGCGATTAATCTCTATTTTAACAACATAATATGTGTTATACTGAGATAAACAAAGAACGTGTAAAACTTAGCAATTCCTCAAAATTTTTGTTCATGTAATTTGATTTATTAATTAAAATATATATTAACTTACTTATACAAAATATTATCTTCATGACTACATTATAACAATATATGAATTTATACTGAAGTGAAGTTTATAATTCTAATGTTCTTTTATTGAAGTTAACGTTGTCTTTGAACCATAAATTATAATAAAACAAAGAATTTATAAATATGTCAATAAAAAGTCAATTAATTAATAGTTTGGTTTGGCTACATAAAGGTCATATTTATTGAATAATTGTTAATTTATCACATACCTTATTTTGACTTTATATCAAGCTATCTCAATTTATTCAAACCCTATGCTTCTATATATGAAGTTAAGTGAGAAATTTGAAAATAAATGTAAGTACTTATGGCGCGAGTTATTTTTTTATACCAGATAACAATACTATAGTTGTTGTATTTGTTTTATTATAATAATTAAGCTTATTTCGACCGCGTGTCACTTAATCTATTAATTAATGTGGACAAACTTCATGAGCACGTGTTCAAATGATTGATAACCATGTTACTATAACTTGTTTTAACACAACATGGTTTCCCTAAATTATGTCTACATACAGATTTCTGACAAGATTTGCCTTCTTAACTATCAAATTAAACAATCCGTGTAATAATAAATTCAATTTCTCAGTCAAATATAATATCTTTTTAAATAAATATAGCTGCTTACCTTATTGTATAATTACCTTATGAGTTCTGTTTGGTGTTTACTTAAATACTAACGAAAAAAGGCGCCAAATCGCACGTAGAGACAACTACTCAGTAAGACTGAATGTTTTGAGTCTACAAAAAGATTTTTAACAATTTAAGTTAAAATAATAACTGCTGATTATGTATTCAATAATAAAAATGTATCTCATCATACAGTTTTTAAGTAATTCCAATTAGTTTAATGAAAAATAGTCATTACTTCGTTAGTTAGAACAACTCGTAAGTTAAAAGATCTCCGACAGATGGCGCTATTATAATGAATCTAGATAAAATTAACAAGCTGTTGCTTTCAAAGTAATTATAATGTGGTGGAGATTTTAATCAAATTGAACCATTGTTTCTTTTACACTATGTTATAAACTATGAGCAAGATTTATATTTTGGCATTTGTCGTAACGTAAAGTACATAAAAGGTCAAATAAAAAAATATTAGTTAATTTCTACAACAGTGTGAGTAGAGTAGTGACCAACAGTTATGGCATACTTTTATAAGTTTTTGACAAAGTTTTAAAGTGATGTCTCATTTTGATTTAGTTATTTCATCTAGTTTTGACACAGCACGGTTTCTACAATCAAAATGTCAAGTTAAAAGTAAATCTGTAAGTCCAACAAAAGAATGTACTTCCGAAAATATATGTATATTAAAATACGTAGGTACTTGAAACCATTAGAAAAAACTATTATATTATTTACTTATAGATAGATAATAAAGACATCGGGTAATTCGTTTAAATACGTATAGATAATGGTAATACAATTAAATTAAATTCAATTCTTTAATTACGTATGGTAATGTCAAACCGATACCGTATAATATGATTAGAAGCCGACACCCTCCAGTGATGGTAATTGACAAACGTCTCAACTGATAAGTCTATTAGGATGACACGTAATAGACAACTCAGAGTTGAATAATTCTTATACAAATAAGTTTTAACTCACTAATTATACAGGGTGACTGGTGAATTACTATCAATATTTAAGGAGCATACTCGGTACATGATTCTCATTCGAATTATGTAAAAAAAATAGGCACTTAATTTTTGACAAAATTTCCGTATAAATAAATAAAGTGTGTACACGTTCCAAGTGTTCCAAGTGTGGACGCGTGCGGCGGCGTGCTGATACAACACCACGCCGCGCGCGCGAGTGTGTATGTGTGTATGTATACCTAATCTGTAGGGTGTTCATACGATGCGTAATTAATTACATAACTTTTGGTTAACTTTACTTAGAAGTTTATTAATATTTATGTTATATTAATTTTTATTTTGTCATATATGATCGTCAAATATCACGTGCTCAAATATTGATAGTAATTCACCAGTCACCCTGTATTGTGGCAATCGAAGGTTCCACGAAAACTACAAATGTTACTTATATGTTTATTATAATGAGAATTACATATTAAAACTTATAAGTTATAGCCTACACCTAAGACTACATGATTGCCCCGATGTTAGGATAGCAATACCATTCCATAGCTTGTGTGCTATCAAGAATCTTGTGGTTCACACGGCTTGGTGTTCGTTCCGCGGAGTCAGCAGCGTCATTCGTAATATATGTTATTCATACAACGAATTTGACCCGGCGATGTTCTTTTTTTTAGTACGTATAGCGAACGTAACACACTATTTCATTGATTGAGATTGTTGATTTAAAGCTTGTAATTTAAAATGGAATCTCATGGAGATAAAATTATTTGTGTTTTTATGATAATTTGTCAATTGGACTTACTATAATTGAATGACTAGAATAATGCTGCAATATCAATTCACACTTCAAGTTAATAACCTAACATATATATTATTATATGTATATTCTATCTTATATTTCAGTAGAATTCTATTATAGGTAGGTATACTACCATCAAACCTTTCTTTTATAAAACCACATAGATGTTATGAAAGAAAGGTAAGATTTTTAAATTTACCTTAAAATCTCAGTAGCTTTAGTGAAGAATTTTACGATCCTCGTGTCTTTATTTGATATAATATTTATAATAATTTAAGAGTCTTGTAACGAGCGTAGTGAGGCCGCCATCTTGTGAATGAACGATGCTCCTCCATTTGAAGAGCTCAGATTAAACTGAGATCGAGCTATGTCACGAATATTATAAAATAACCAAGTATGTATAATATTTTTGTAAAAAATAATGAAAATTGAAACAGAAGATTTACTTCAAATTTAGATTTTCTAGACCCTGTAGTTTTGACAACCTTTCCTTAAAAGTAGGCGAGCATTTAAATACAAACAAATTTTTGTCAGTCATTTTAATTTGTTTTAGCATATATTAACCAAACGTTGGCAGACTTTTAAGAATTAAATAATGAGTTCTATTATAACCTAGAAGGATTAATAACAGCGGCAGAGTCTTATTTCTGCTATTTCTATCAATGAAATTAAATTGCTAATGTCATGAAATAAAGATACATATACTAAATTTCAATTTTCCCAAATTCTTTTTATTAATATTCCTGTCACGATATCTTAGTTGGTAAAGCAACTTGAATGCAACATACTGGAGAACGCAGAATCGAATCTTGCTCGTGACGTTGCTTAATCAATATTTTCTGAATTACATTTTAATTTATATTTAATTTGTGTTCTAAATCATTCCTTATCTAACACGCTGAGATTAAACTAACAGATTTATTTAAACCTCAACACTTATCTGGTTAAAAAAATATTCTAAACAATCTAACTATAAGTGGTAACAAAGGAGCCAAGTATGACAACATATTTTGAGGTGGTAGAGCCTAGCTGTGGCCAAGTGATTGCAGCTCGAACATGGTCTGTCTCGACCGTAAGTACCACCCTCTCACAGAAGATCGACGTGAAGTAGCGTTAATGGCTGCGTTTCGTTCGATGAGTGAGAGAGCCGGTTGCCATTTCCCTTTTTCCATTCTTTCCTACCCCTTCCCTTTTTCCTCCCCTTCCGATTTTTCCTCCCCCTCTTCCCAAGTCAAGGGTGGTGACACATCCGCAACATGTCTTATGTAGCGGATGTCCATGTTCGACGGTACTACCTCCATCATGTAGGCCGTCTGCTCGGTTGGCCCCTTTAACATAAAAAAAAACATCAGACAAGGCAATTAATAAATATTGTGTTTAAAATAAAATGTAAAATTATAAATATTCCTTTGACTCTCTGAATAACTTATTTTCTCATGTACCTACAACGGGAAACAGAGGAATTTATGTTTCGGTATCAAATTACTATAAGTAGTATTAGTTAATTCAATATAAATTCTTCCTTGCGAGCATATTTACCTCAAAATGTCATTTTAAAGGTGTTGCATATAACGTATTGCAGACACAGATTCCTTTGCTTTAAATTTAAATATCTAAGCGTTTTCTGTATTTCCCCTCAATAGAGTAGAATAGAATTCGTTCTAGTTTCGATATGGGTTCCTTAAAATATTCTTACAACAAAGTATGAGTGTATTCTCAATAGCATTTCCTAAGAGAGTAATTGGACCGGAAACAAATAAGAGTGAGTACAAAGTGAGGCTATCGTTCAAACAATAAATACTAAACAAAATCGGTATTAAAATTGCCAGACCTATCATTCAATCAATTTAAATATTATTCCTCTTTCTCTCTCTCTCTCTCTCTCTTGTCTAGTTTAGATCTTCTTTATCATATAATAAAAATTGAAAATAAAACTTTATTTGAATATATTAAAAACTCTAAAATACAAAAAAAATATTAATTAAA